GGGTGCGGGGGTGGGACAGACACCGCCACCCCTGCCCCCGCGGCCACGGGGCTTACGCAGGCGGCAGATGGGGCAGTTGCTGGCCTGGTAGCGCAGGGTGTCGGCGCAGGTGTTGCACAGGCAGAGGTGGCGGCAGGGCAGGATGAGGGTGTCCCGCACGTCCGAGAGGCACACCACGCACTCGGCGCTGTTGTCACTCACCTCGTCCTCAGCCACCTGCCGGGAGAGGACACTGAGCCAAGGACAGAGACGCACACTTGCTGGACAAGGGATGGGAACAGTCCGGCCGGCGTGGCTCAGGGGCTGAGCATCGACCCATGAACCAGAGGTCAGGGGACAGGCCCGAGCTGCGGGCTCGATCCCCAGCGGGGGGCGTCCAGGAGGCAGCCGGTCCATGATTCTCTCTCATCATTGATGAGAGAGACTCATTGATCGGTTGCCTCCTGCACACCCCCCACTGGGGATGTGCCCGCAACCAAGGTACATGCCCTTGACCGGAATCGAACCCGGGACCCTTCAGTCCGAAGGCCAATGCTCTATCCACTGAGCCAAACCGGTCAGGGCAATAAAAAACATATTAAAAAAAAAACAGAAAAATAAAACCAGTTACCTCCTGCAAGGACTCAGATAAAGATAGTAAACTGTATCCCAACCTAAGACGACCACCCCCTTGCTTCTGCTTGGGGGAGTCCCGGAGAAAGGGGGGCCCACAGGGGGGAATAGGGGAGGCTCTAGGCATGGCCACCATCAGGACACCAAATCCCCACCTTACACTACAGGCTGGTTTCAAGCAACAGGGGCTCACCCAGCTTACTGCCCCCACCCCCGCAAAGGCACGGAAATGAGGGGCCCAGGGCGAGAGGGGGCAGCGAGGAGACCTCACTGTTGGCTTCACGGGGCGGGGTTCTGAGCCCAACTCACCGAGGGCTCCTCTGAGTCGGAGGTCTGGGAGGAGATGATGGGGTTGAAGCTGGTCGGGGACAAGGGGCCCAGCTTCTTCCTCATGGCTCGGATCTGCAGCAGCGCCCGGAAGGCTGAGGAGGGGGGGGGCCGTCAGGCCACGTGGGTGCGGGGGTGGGACAGACACCGCCACCCCTGCCCCCGCGGCCACGGGGCTTACGCAGGCGGCAGATGGGGCAGTTGCTGGCCTGGTAGCGCAGGGTGTCGGCGCAGGTGTTGCACAGGCAGAGGTGGCGGCAGGGCAGGATGAGGGTGTCCCGCACGTCCGAGAGGCACACCACGCACTCGGCGCTGTTGTCACTCACCTCGTCCTCAGCCACCTGCCGGGAGAGGACACTGAGCCAAGGACAAAGACGCACACTTGCTGGACAAGGGATGGGAACAGTCCGGCCGGCGTGGCGGCCTGCGGACTGGAGGGTCAGGGTTCCAGTCCCGACCAGGGCACAGCACGGGCTGTGGGTCGATCCCCAGCGGGGGGCGTGCAGGAGGCAGCCGGTCCATGATTCTCTCTCATCATTGATATTTCTACCTCCCTCACTCTCCCTTCCTCTCTGAGATCAATAAAAATATATATATTTAAAAAGGAATAGGAACAGAAGCTTACGCTTACACCGGGCTTCACAGTTTACCCAGTGCGTTCACACACTCGCTGTCACTGCCTCCGGGAGCTCCTCTCAAGCTCACACTGTGAGGCTGACCGGCTGGGCCTCTGACCGGCTGGGCCGTGGGGCCGAGCAGACCCACGGGGAAAAAGACGGGTTTAATGATCAGCGTCCAGAAAGCCCATCCGGCTAACGGGGGGCGGGGCGCACGGGGGGACTCAGAGACTAACCCAGAGCGATTTAAGGTTTAAGGACAGTCATCTGAAACGAGAGGCGGGAAACACCCCCTGGGCCCGAACTGGCTGCGAGCTCGGGGCCCGGCCTCCCGGTCCCGGCTTGACAGGCAG